ATATTAATTAGTTAATTATTAATAAAATATTTATATATATTTTTATTTCCAGTAATATATTCTGTGTCAATTTTAATCAAGTATTAATTATCATTTCCTTTTCAAATTGATCTACTTTTAATTTCATTTTTATTCTCAGTCAATGATTCTTTTAATTACATATTAATTAGTTAATTATTAATAACAATTTTTTTTAATATTTCTATGTTGAAGTGATTTTATGATACTAACAACTATTATTGTAAATAAGTTTCATGTGTAAATACGATATGTAACCTTTATTCATTTTAAAGTTTTGTTGTGTAATAACTATATAGGAAACATTGTGATATTACAATTGAAAAAAAAAATACTATTATTTTATTGATTTCCAAAAACATACTATCAATTAAATAAGATTTGATATTTAAAATGGGTAATTAGCTAAAATAATAAACTTTTAATACACTATTTTAAAATAACAAATTATTACAAACATCTTAGTAAACAATAAAAGAAAATATATATTCTCATTTATCAGTAATTCTGATTACACCAAGACTAATTAATCTATATATTAATTGTGCAAGTTAGGTGTTGCCACATCCTTTACTAACATCCATGTTAATTTGTCCAATGTCTAAACTCATGACTCATCTGTATAATCTTCATCACAATTAAATTAAAAAGAATATGATAGTTGTTAATTCATCCCATGTCTAAACTCATAAATACAATCTTCATCATAATAAAATAAAAAAGAATATTATGATAAAGAATTGGATATGATACATCTACAATTCAATTTTCATGCATGAAATATATTCACAAAATAAAAAAAAATAAAGTAATTAATAAATATAATATACAAACAACTTGCTAAAGTGCTTACCTGAAATAGTTGCAAAATATTGCAATTTTTTAAAAATAAAACTACCAATAAAATATACTTTATTAAATTTATATACTACTTTTTCAATATATGCAATTGCATGTATATTAATAAGAACTAAATATGAAACTTTTAATTTTCATTTACATGATTGTATAGTAAATTCTGTATGGTACTACACAACAAAGGAATAATCCTTATTCACAGAGATTGAACAATGTCAACAATGTTATTCACATCAACAAACTAAGCCTAAAATTATTCAGGAAAAAAAATACAGTATTAATATATATATATATATATATATATATATATATATATATATATATATATATATATATATATATATGAATCTTAAAAATATAATGGTAGTGAATATAAACATGAAAAAAAAAATTAATACACATATATTTACGATCCGCACTCTTTTGAGTTGTCCCCACAATTTAAATTAGGCATGTCTAAAGTCCTATAATACACGAAAATAGGAATAGTGGAATACTATTAGGATGTAAATGGAGATGAATATAAAATTACTATAATTTGATTTGATTTGAGTCTGATTATGCCTAATATATTAAGTCCTATAATACACAGAAATAGGAATATATCTAATATAAATGGAGATGAATATAAAATTACTATAATTTGATTTGAATATAATGGCATATAATAATATCTATATATAAATAATGGATGATATTACATAAATGCCTCTAAGTTTTGAGGGAAAATTTATAGATTAGGATTATTGTTATGCGTGTACATACATATATTTGATTTGGACTTGTGTACCAAGGCTCAATATAATAAAATGGGCTACGGAAGATATCATGTAAAAATTGTAGCTTAAAGAATATAATATAAATTAGGCAAAATAATTTATTTATTTAAGGTAGAAAATACTAATTTATATTTATAGGTAGAAAATACTAATTTAAAAGGAAAGAATAATAATTTATTTATTTATTTAAGTTAATAACATTATTATTATTATTATATTATATTATACTACGAAGATATATATATATATATATATATATATATATATATATATATATATATATATATATATATATTAATTATAAAAAAAATGCTGTAAAATGAACTATGCTTGTTAAAAAAAACATAGAAACTTGAATGGCATGTACAAATCTCGAAATTAGCATACTAACTCTAAGTTTCAGAAAATCTTACAAAATCATCAAAATTATCGTCTTTATCATCCTCGATCGCATCTCTACAATCTTCCATAAAACCTAAACCAATATGGTTCATAAACTGCAAAACATATTGAAGTACGTGATAATATAGTTAGAAAAATGTAAAAAATTCATACAAAAAGAAAGCAGAGAGATGAGTCTGAGATTCTTTGATTGAAGAAGCCATTGTATTTATAGGTAGAAAATACTAATTCAAAAGGAAAGTATAATAATTTATTTATTTAAGGTAATAAAATTATTATTATTATTATTATTATTATTTATTTAATTTAATTTCCATTTGACATTTACTTACCAAATAAGTTTTACTACAAAAGTTTTGGGGGGAAAAATTGTTAGGAGGATTTTACTTTTATATATATATATATATATATATATATATATATATATATATATATATATATATATATATATATATATATATATATATATATATATATATATATATATATATATATATATATATATATAGAATAAATATATATAGATATATAGATATATAGATATATAGATATAGATATAGATATAGATTATTATTAATTGTTTAGGCGGGAATTTATAAAGGAGGATATTGTTTTTATTAATTAATATAGAATATATATTACCAATTAGAATTAAAGTTTTTATTATAATTGAACAATAATATTATCAATTATTATTTGAAGATTTTGTAAAATAATAAGTAAAATTGTATTATGGATAATAAAATATATGTACTTTAATTTTAATTTAAATTATTAATAATTAATTCTATTTTATTTTTTAACAAAATCTTCCAGATTAATTAGTAAAATAAAGTTAAATTATTAATAACCGATTCTATTACATTTTTTACGCAGAATTTTTTCTTAAAGATTAATATAGTAAAATAAAGCTAAATTATTAATAACCGATTCTATTACATTTTTTTACGCAGAATTTTTCTTAAACATTAATAGTAAAATAAGGCTAAATTATTAATAACCAATTTTATTCTATTTTTTACGCAAAATCTTCCGTAAAAGATTAATAGTAAAATATCTTAATGATTATTTTCCTTATACTGCTTATTGATTCTTTTCCATTTTTCAGAGTGTAGAAAACATTCACATGACTAATATTTCCTTCCATTATTTTTCATATTTCTATATTATTATTAATTTTCTTCCCAATATTATTATTAATTGTTTAGGCATACGACTTCCTTAGTTTCTTCCATTCTTTTTCATTTTTTCATATTATTATTAATTGTTTAAGCGAAAACTTGTAAAGGATGATTTGTTTTAATTTTATTAATTAATATAGAATATAAATATAAATTAATATAGAATATAGATTACAAATTAAAATTAGTTTTTTTTAATATTATATTTGAACAATAATAATAATAATAATAATATTAATAATAATAATAATAATAATAATAATAATAATAATAATTATTATTATTATTATTATTATTATTATTACGAAGTAATTATGGCGATCCCATAATTATCCAAAAAATAAATACACTTTTGACCTATACAATGAGGAATTGAGCATGGACTTTATAACTGTCAAAACCGACACCATGAGAATAAAACAACTTAACAATTCAGAATTCAGAAGTCCGATTACTTCAATAATCAACACAAAGAACTAAGAAGAATATAATAATAGCCAATTGATGTATTAAAGGCGATTCCTGCTATATCTTGTCGTGTATATTACAACAGAAACACTTAACCACTCCCCATTCTCCAATCACCCATGAGTCACACATTGTTGTTGTGTGGCACTTTAAATTCTTGACCAATGACAATATAGCAAAAAAAAATGAAGAGAGAGATTAGAGGAGTCAGCACTCAGCATCCCTTTAAACGGGCAGGAGTAGGCACCACTCAAAGCGAGATTCACATGAGGCTGCCTTTCATCAATAATAATGAAACTTCAATAGAAGCAAAAAAATAATATATGAAATGGACTTGGAGTAACCGTAGAAATATTCAGAATAAATCATAATCTAAGCATATGATATGAATAGCTTTTCGCTGAAAAAAGTATTAAATTTGGACAACACAACCATGAAAAACGTATCGTTAATTTCGAAACGCAGCTAAATTGAATGATCAAGGCTGAAGACCTAGTGGGAAAAAAAGGATGCAATATAAAATGAAGACTTATAATTTTTGTAGTCATCAAACTCATTGTATTTATAAGTGAAAAATATGAGAATTATAAATTTGTAAAAATTTTCAAAAAGAAAGTGTATTTATTTATTTAAGGTATTGCCCTAATCAATTCATTATATTAATATTTCTAATTAATCTTATTCCTAATTAATTCATAATATTGATATTACTAAATTTTCATTTTTCATTTGCTTACCAAATAAGCTTTATTAAGTATTTGACTAATAAAATATAAAATATTTAATTAATTTGACTACAAAAGTTTAGGCGGGAAAATGAAATAGGAGGATTTTACTTATATATATATATATATATATATATATATATATAGATGTTGTTTATTTATGAAGATCAATCCCCCATTATATATCGATTTAAATATTCTTAATATATTACAATAATTTCTCGCACGGGTGAAAATATTAGTACAAAGATAGTGTCAAAAAAAAAATAAAAAAAATAATAAACAACACTGGCTGTGCGCGTTGCCAATGGCTACACGCGCCCGTGTAGCGCGTGGTTTTTATTAATTTTTTTTTTCAATTTCTGTTTTGGTTTTTTTTTTTCTTTTTTTCTCTCCTCTCCCACTTATCTTTCCTAATTACTCTTACCTTATCTCTCAAATCTCCCCCACTAATGTGGATGCTCTTAATTGTTGCTGCGTTGCTGAGGAGTGAGGAGTGGGTGGGTGGTGGACCAATCTCCAAATGATAATGACGTTTGCTGACGAAGATTACCTCTTTTTCATTATATGTTGTTTATTTATGAAGACCAATCCCCCGTTATCGTGGATTTGTGCCGCAGGGGCGTGGTGGCGGTCTCGTCTCTATGGGCTATGGCCATCACCGGAGCAACAATGGACCTTCCAGACGCCGAAACCCAATTTCTGCAACACGATTCCGTTGATGGTTCCGTCGATTACAAGGGCCGACCTGCCATCCGATCCAGATCGGGTCGCTGGAGATCAGCTTATTTCATCATAGGTCAAACCCCAACTCTGTTTAATTTTTCATTGACTTTCTTTTTGTTCTTGCTTTGATGAACATGAACATGATTTTGGGTGGTATTAGGCGTGGAGATGGCGGAGAGATTTGCGTACTATGGGATAGGTTTGAACCTGATAAGCTACCTGACTGGGCCGCTCGGCCAGTCCACGGCGACGGCGGCGGAGAATGTGAATGCTTGGACGGGAACGGCGTCGCTTTTGCCGCTATTGGGAGCATTTGTGGCCGACTCTTTTCTGGGTAGATACCGGACCATAATATCTGCCTCTGTGCTATATATCCTGGTTAGTTCACTGCTCTTATTAACTTGTAGCCATCGATTTTATGGTTTAAATCCAGCTTTTTTAAAGAATAAATGTCACCGAAATAAACGCCCAAAAAAAAAGACAAGAAAAAATGCCATCAAATAAATTAGCCAATTATTGCCGGTAAAAATGGCATATGAAATTTCAAAAATTAATGTTTCTTTTTAATTAGTGTTGATGAGGAAATTATTGTACCATTGATATCTCATAGCTTCCTTTCTGCTCTTCAATTTGATATTGATTCTTCTTTCCGTTAAGAGTCCTACATTGTAAAAATAAGATAGAATTATATAGGTTTATAATTTAGGCTCAGTATTGTAAATATCGGCCTAGACACTAGGTTCCCCTAGGCAGAGGCGAAAAAGGGCGTAGGCGGTTGCTAGTCGGCTAACTCAGCCGGAACCATTTTTTTAAAATTGATTTTTCCGCTCAAAACGACGTCATTTTGAGCGGAAAGTTTAAGTTTTTTTTTTAAATTTATAAATTAGACAGCTGCCTAAGAGCCAACTAGCACCTAACACCTTCTGCAACATTAGGCTAGTTAATTAATTGGTTCCAATCTTTTTAGTGTGGTTTGCCCATGTGTTGACTTAGTACTTGCTTATATTTTGAACACTGGGTTGCTCTTGAAGAAGGAAGCATATAACTAATCATTTTGCTGTGAGCCTGTGAGAGGATGGGCAGAAACAGAAACTTGTAATTCACATGATCGAACTGCTAGTACAACTTCAAAGATCAAATTGATACTAAAAGAGAATCAGAAGAAGAAGAAGAATGATAATGCACCCTGAATATTATATCACCCTGTCATCCTGATTACCTGAATGTGGGAAACATAGCTTCATTTAATACTTTTCTGTTTCATCTCTGGTAACCTTTTGTGAATCTTTATCTAGGATTCTTTGCACTGCAGGGCTTGGGCTTCCTAACCCTATCAGCCGTACTTCATTCCAAGTCGTCAAACTGCCAAGATGCTACAAATAATGACACATGTTCTCCTCCACAGTTTGAAATTATCTTCTTTTTCTTTTCTCTGTATCTCGTGGGACTAGCTCAAGGTGGGCACAAACCTTGTGTGCAAGCTTTTGGAGCCGACCAATTTGATACACAAGACCCACAAGAGAATAAAGCCAAAAGCTCGTTCTTCAACTGGTGGTATTTTGGGATGAACTTTGGAATTTTTGTGGCACTCTTGGTTTTGACCTATGTACAGGACTACCTTAGTTGGGGTCTTGGGTTTGGAATACCTTGTGTTATTATGGGTATTGCACTTATTGTTTTCTTATTTGGGACAATCACCTACCGGTTTCAAAAAGACAATGATAATAGAAATCCATTTGTGAGAATTGGACGTGTGTTTATTTATGCTGCTAAGAATCACAAAACTAGCACAGCAGAAATATCAATGGAGCTAGAGGTTCAAGGCATTCTACCAAATAAAGGATCTCAACAATTCATGTAAGTAAACCTTTTTAACTCCATAATTGATGAATAGCTTTGTCATTTTCCAATGCTTTAAGCAACAGGCTAGGATGGATTTTGCAAGGTGTCCAAATGCATTTGTTAATCTCAAATACTTCCTTCTCTTGTCAAGACTTTAAGCCTGCTTTTGTGCTTCATAGACTTTTTTAAGCCTTAACTCAAAGTTTCTTTTCTCAATGCAATAATAATGGGGTTGTTTGGTAAATGGCTGTTAGCTGATTGGATTAGTGGGTTTGACTAGTTGATAACATTAGTTGATTGTTGAAAAGTGTTTGGTAAATTAACTGTTAGCTGATAGCTGATAGCTGATTACATACAAAATGATTTTCTCAACATGCTAATCGAAAAAACTACTTTGAGCAGCTTTTTGAATTTTAGCATTTTGGAGCAATAAGTTGTTACAAAAAGCTAATTAATCAAACACTCATATTGATTATTTAACCAAGTCAAACAGCTGATAGTGGTCAAATAAGCCAAAATTGGCTGTTAGACTAACTATTTTACCAAACAGGGCCAATGTCTTATTCACCCATCATTAAACTTTGTTAATCACAGGTTCCTTAACAAAGCACTGCTTGCTCCCGATGGTTCAAAGGAAGATAGGAAAACTTGTACAATTGATGAGGTTAATGAGGCAAAGGCAATTCTCAGACTGGTTCCAATATGGGTGACATGTTTGGGATATGCTCTAGTGTTTGCACAGACATCTACTTTGTTCACCAAGCAAGGAGCTACAATGGATAGATCTATTGGTTCAATTCTTGAAGTACCAGCTGCCTCATTACAATGTATCATCTGCTTTTCAATTCTTGTCGTTATGCCTATATACGACCGTATTTTGGTTCCTATTACTCGAGCAATAACCCGGAGACCCTCAGGGATAACAATGCTTCAAAGAATTGGAACGGGATTAGTTTTTTCTATACTGGCCATGGTGATTGCAGCTGTAGTTGAGAAGAAACGTCTTCAAACTGCTTTAGACTACGGGCTGGTTGACTCGCCAGAGGTAACACTTCCCATTCACGTATTCTGGTTAATACCACAGTATATATTGGTTGGCATTTCTGAAGCATTCAGCATGGTCGGTCTGCAAGAGTTCTTCTATGATCAAATGCCTAGCGAGTTGAAAAGCGTAGGCCTTTCTTTGTACCTCAGTATCTTTGGCATTGGGAGCTTCTTAAGCAGCTTTCTGATTTCTATTATTGACCATGCCACTGGTGGAGATGGGCAAGACAGTTGGTTCTCAGATAACTTGAACCGGGGGCATCTCGACTACTTCTATTGGCTTGTTGCAGGACTTAGTATGGTAGCATTCGTTGCATACTTGTACTTCTCAAGATTGTACATCTACAATAAGGCAAATGTTGCTTGAAATGCATTGGATTGATCATTTATGTTGATTAGGAATAAATATGTATATTACAGTACTTTTTTTTAAAAAAAATTAATGTATATTACAGTATACTAGGGAGTGTTATTTCAAACTAGCTTATGAACTAATTTTGTTTCAATTCAAGTTTTTAGTTAACTAGTATTTTCGCCCGTGCGATGCACGGGATGGATTTGTTATAATATATTAAAAATATTTGGATTGATATATAATTATTTAAATTAGAATATCAAATATTATACAGTGCAATTGAAGATAAGTTTTGGATTATTTATGTGTTTTGATGTTATCATTGTTTGAATTTGAGCAAATAATTGTTTATTTATGTGTTTTGATGTTATCATTGTTTGAATTTGAGCAAATAATTGCTCAAATTAATAGTTAATGTGTAGATGTACACATGCGATGCTGTAACTTTGGAGATTTTATTTATCATTGTTTAGTATTTTTTTTTATAAATTAGACAAATATGTTCGTTGTCTAGCAACTCAGTTATAGGAATGAATTGCTATCTTAATTCATTTGTATGGAATATATATATATATATATATATATATATATATATATATATATATATATATATATATATATATATATATATATATATTTGTATAGATATATAGCAATTTTGTCATTTAAAAAAACATAATATCAACGATTGTATTTACACATTATTGAAATCTGTTTGTAGATGACATTGGTTGTAGCAACGCAATCCTGTTCATCATTGTATGGAGCTAACACCTTCAGTCCATCAGGATAGGTGACTCGGGTGAAAATATATAATGGTAGAGTATTAGTCAATTAGCGATCCTTTTATATTTTAAGTCAAGTAGTAATATCAAATTCATTTTCAGCAAATTATTCTTTTATATTTTTAGTCAATTAGAATATCATATGTAGTGTTATTTTTACCTAATTTTCGTTCAATTTTTAATTGATGATGTATAATATTATTATTGAAATATTTACGTTCCATTTTTAATTTATCTTTAATATTGTTTAAAATATGCATTTACTATTTATGATGTAGAAATATTATTGAAATATTTCCGTCAAATTTTAGTTTCCGTTCCATTTTTAATTAAAATGCAATGATCAACCATTTATTTTTTTTTCATATTAATCAATTATGGATTATTTTTTATTTGCAGTCAACTATTAGTATTCATTTCTTTTTATATTTTCAGTCAATTTGTAATGTCATATTCATTTTCAGCCAATTATTCTTTTTATTTTATTTTATTTTCATTCAATTAGTCAATTAGAATATCAGATGCAGTGATATTTTTACATAATTTTCCTTCCATTTTTAATTGATGATGTAGAATATTATTATTGAAATATTCCGGTTTTATTTTTAATTTTTGTTTCATTTTTAATTTACTTTTACTATTGTTTAAAATATGCATTTACTATTGATGATGTAGAATATTATTATGTAAATATTTCCTTTTTATTTTTAATTTACTTTTACTTGATGATGTAGAATATTATTATTAAAATATTTTCGTTCTATTTTTAATTTTCATTTCATTATTTAAAATTGTGAAAGATTTATGACATAATTGTGATTTGATGTATTATACTGTATAATATTATTGTCAAAAATTAAAATGCAATGATCTGACCATTTCCTTTTTCATTTTAGTCAATTATGGATCATTTTTATTTTCAGTCAATTATTAATATTCATTTCCTTTTCCAATTAACCTAACTTCAATTCCTTTTTTTTCATTTTTAATTTTCTCCAATTAACCTAACTTCAATTCCTTTTTTTCATTTTTAATTTTCAGTAAATTATTAATATTCATTTTTTTTTCTAATTTACCTAATTTCCATTCCATTTTTTATTTATGATGTAGAATATTATTGTGAAATATTTATGTTCCTTTTTTCATTTTTTTTTTTAATTTACATCTACTATTTACTATTGTTTGGACATGAAATCAAATAAATAGGATTTTGTTTTTAATTATAGTATAGATTTGACCGTGAGGTTGTAACACACACACACACACACACACACACACACACATATATATATATATATATATATGATGAATTGGTTATATTATAAATTGTTTAAATTTGTTATATAGGATATTATGTTATGTGAGAGCATTGAATATGGAAACAATATTCCCAAGATTTTAGTTGATTTCTACTTTATATTTGCTTACAAAATAAGTTGTATTAAATTAGTTGGTGATAAACATCCAAAAATTCTACACGGTAATACCATACATAATATTACCAATTATGCTATTATGTTATTACCTAATTAATTAATGTCTTTTCTGTAGAATTTGCAAACAATAATGTTACCAAAAATATTATTATATTATAGAATATAACTAATATATCTGGAAGTAAAATTTGAGCTCTAAGATCATATAGGGCACTCTTTGATCCTAAATCAATAAATAATTAGTTATATACACATTTAGCAGTACCAATGTCATTACTAATACTTTATATATATCTGCAGTATTGAACCTTTAATGTGAGATAAGAAAGAAATCATCAGTTAAATGATGCCTTTATTTGGATGCACTAAGACTATTACAATGCTCCATCACTTAAGCTAATTTATTTATTAACATTAAAAAAAATATATTTTAAAGTGTGACAATTTATACTAATAAATCATTTTAAAAAGTGGCAAAAGATGATTTCCTAATTTCATGCCACTGCATCAATTTAAAAAAAAAAAATTATTGCTATTGTTTACCTCAATCATCTCATAAATATCCATAATTTTTATTAGAGGGGTCTAATCAACACATCTATATCTATATATATATAAAAGTAAAATCCTCCTATGTAATTTTCCCGCTCAAACTTTTATAGTCAAATTAATGAAATGTTTTATTGGTCAAATTAATAAAACTTATTTGGTAAGCAAATGTAAAATGGAAATTTTATAAAAGCTATTAATTGGTAATATTATGCAATACCAATATACCATTGTGAAATCCAATCAATATAAATTGAAAAAAGGAAATTGATATTATTAATTGATTGAAAATATAAAAGGATTCTAATGAAAAAAAGGAAACAGAAATTAGGCAAATTGATTGAAAATATAAAAAGAAATTAATTCTCACATTCTCTATCTCTACCTATAAATACAATGGATTAGTGACTAGAAAAATTATAACTCTTCTTTTTTGTACTGGGGTGAGTTCTGTATTGTGTCTTTCATTTTTCAATGGCATAATTCTTAATTTCTGTTCTTATTTCTTTTCTACATCTTTTGCAAATATTGCAGGATACAAATATAGAGACAATTGAAATGGTTCTGAGCAACTATTTACATGCATTAAGGAGAGGCGTGCCCACATTGTAGAAGGTACGCACAATAACTGGATAAACTATTATGATGTTAAGCATTGACAATTACAACGAATTTATAAATTTACATGTAATATGCATTATTATTATATAATAGTTGACACTACATTTATTTTTTTAAATTATTTCTCTTTTATTTTTTTCTATATTTATTTTAATAATAATATAATTGTCTAATTGTTGTAGCAGGAAGTCACAACGAAATTGTTGGTAGTCAACTTCATCCTACACTCATTTGGAATATAATCAATGTTGGAGTGCTCCGTGTTGTTCATCTTCCAGAGGCAAGAGGTTCTGAAACAATAAATTCTATAGAGTGTGTAGTCCATGATAAGGAGTTTTTTTTTTTTTTTTTTTTTTTTTTTTTTTTTTTTTTTTTTTTTTTTTTTGTGGTACTATGATCTTAATATTAATAGTTTGTATTTCAAAACTTTTAGTTTATGCATATGGTTGTTTTACAACATTTTCTTTTTACACTACAAATTCATGGTACTTTTCTACATATGCATATTTTTTGAAAGAATGTGATTCAAATAATGATGGATATGTTAATAGCTCTAAAGATTGTATAGTTATTCCAACATTTAACTTCACTTATAATTTTATATTTTGTTATTGTTATGTAATAGGCATTTCTCACTTCTCAATTAGATCGAATATGCTTCTGGTTTTGAGAATTTTGGGTAATATTTACATTAATTTACTACTACTCTGCACTATTCTTTGAAATTTTCGAAATAGAATCACACGGACTTTTATGAATCATTTACGAAATAGAATCAAATTTACGGATGTGGTTACATTTTTGCTAATTTTTTGTTAAGACTTTTTCAATTTGTATAATTTAACAATTTAATCATTTTTAATTTATATATAACTTAATAAAGCTTATTCTGTAACCAAGTATTTTGTAATATTTACGGTGTGTATATATATATATGTGTGTGTGTGTGTGTGTGCGCGTGTGTGGCCTCACGATCAAAATAAATTATAAAATAATTTATGTATAAAATTTTTCGCTCCTTATAATAAAATAATTCAATAAAGGTTTATATATAAGAAAATAACCAGTAATATTTACCTTTTAAGTATAATTTATCAATTTAATTACTTTTTATTTGATAAAGATTATTTTCTAACCAAACAATTGGTAATATTTACGATTTATTGAACCAACCTTCATATTTCCGGTCAAATGAGTACACAAGATGAAATATGTTCATTGCGCGAAATCATAATATTAATTGAGTTGCCAAATTGTATATTGCATAAGAATTATTCATACCATAATATGAATTGTAACCAATTTAATAAATCAAAATATTAACAAGTATGTATGGTAATATTATTTAATATGAACGTAATACCATAATCTATATAAAAGTAAAATTCTCTTACATCATTTTCACGTCCAAACTTGTGTACTAAATTAATTAAATATTTTATATTTTTTAGTCAAATAATTAATAAATCTTATTTGGTAAGCATATGTTTAATGTAAATTAATTAAAATATCTTAATTGATAATATTGCATAATTATGGTATTGTAAATGTATTAATTGCTAATCAATTCATAGTAACGTGAATATTATGTATGAGAATAACATATGAAACACGGATTTGGAAAACGAAAGTGAAATTATGCAAATTGAAAAAGGAAACGTATATTATTAATGGAC